AGTTTTTGGAGTTATATACAGATTAACTTTAATTCCTATCTCATTCTCTCTGTGAAGTAGACTTTTTTTTTTTTTTTTGCTATTCTTTTATGGCTGACAAATCTTTGGCTGTTTGTATTCATTTGCTTTGTAAGGCTTGAATTTTGGTTTTACATGATTATTCCTGCACCCTTTCCAGAAAGGTTTTTTTTCCCCTTACGCAGACTGGAAGTCAAGGTAGGGTTTGCAGTTTTGACTTAAACTTCTAAGCTCACACATTCAACTGTCTGAACTTCCTACTCCTCTAAACTTCACCAAATAATTCCCACCATTTCCAATTGTGCCATTGTAAAGGTAAACATCTCCCAGACCTACGCTACATACCTTTCTACAGAATTTACTCATTTCCTGAAAACAAATTAAGGCAAATCCCACTGGCACAGCCTCACCTCTTAGCCGTATTTGACGACAGAAGCAGCTGGCAATAGTATCTACTGCCTTGGTTCAATTCTTGCCAGTTGCCAAGAACATTCATTCAACCAGGTAGCCTTAAACCACCCCCTCACTTGCCTCTTTGCTATTTATATGGTCATGCATTTTCTTCCTGCCTTATTGTCTTACTCCATTCATTCTTTTCCTTTTCCACCACTGGAAGGCCTGTTCTGCTACCACCTAGCAGTGTATACACCCACTGGCATATGGCACAGACACAACCACCAGGCCAATTACCTTCACTAGAAAGGCCTTTTTTCTTTCTCCTCTTCCTTTAATTTTGACCACTCCATAGTAGAGCAATTTCACTATTTAAACTCATTTCACATCTGGAGTCACAGCTCCTCAAATTCTCCAGCCCTTGTTCCTCTCTGAAAAAGACCCCTTCAACAATTCTCATTTCTACCATGCCACAAGCGCAGAAGTTTCCTGTGGTGGTCACCTAACCCTTTCACTTGTCCAGTGGGTCCCATCCCACCTAATACTACTTCCTGTTGTACCTTCTTCCTCCCATAGTCCCATCACTCTTGGAGTCAAAACCTCTTCCAGTCTCTCACCTCCTAAATATTTCCCCCATCTCTTCACTTACTTCTCTGCCTGCTGCTTTTTCCTTCCTTTCAACAAACTGTTTACTTTACAGTTTACTATTTACAATAAATCACTGTCTGGAGTTCATCTCTTCCAACACCATTCATACTGTCAGCATAATGCTCCTGGCAACAGAAATTCAGGTGTTTAGCAGCTCATGTACTTTTACAGCCACTGCTTTACTGTTCTTATCTGCTTCTGGCTACAGTATGATTCAGCTTGTCTCTGTTTCATTTCATGGGTACCTGGCTGTCCGTTCAAGATCAAAAAATCCCACAGAACTCTAAACTTTTCCCTTGTCTTTTCTGCTTTGCTGTCTTTTCTTAATGGACAATAGCACCATCCTGTTTGACACAGAGGATGCCAGCCTCTCTAGGGGCTGTCTTTACATCCTCAGAAGTAAGGCGAATCTCATTTTTCAGGTTCTTTCTGTGTCACAGTTTTAAAATACAACCTTCTCTTTCCAGCCACATCATTCAAATTCCTTGCAGAATCTCACACCTTCTATTCCAGTTACCAATACACCTTTTTCTCTAGCCTGACCTAATGCCACAGAAAATGATGCTGAACATCCACTGTAAAGCCTGCTGCAGAAAGCATTCACCTCAGCCCTTCTTTTGAGCATGCCACCCATCTATACAAACCTCTACTCCATCCTTCTCTCTCACAAAGATGTTAGGCCATGTATCTCAGTATCCATGGCCTTCCTGGCTTGTTCCTGATCTCCACATCATCTCTCTCAAGATCCTGGAGACCTCTCAAGGTCTATCCTGGAAACACCAAAACCCACTTCCTTCAAAAAAAAAAAAAAAAGCCTTCTTGCTTTCTTTCATCGAACGTATTGTATTTGGGAGGTATTCTCCAGAAGTGACAATTAACTTTTGAAGTTTTGTTAAGACTATTGCCTTGACTTGAAAAAAAAATCACACTGTTGCAAAATTGATACCACTGCCTCAGATAACAATTGTCAGCTGAGACAACATATGTGTACAGACAAGCCTCATTTGATATTTAATCTGTAAGTTCTTTTTACTCAGCATAATGCTTTTGTGCAGTATCTATCACAATACTGAGCTACTACTGTGGGCTTTTAATATTTCATAATACTGTAGCGCCAAAAGTCTTAAACTTCACTAAATATTTAGTGTCTAAGTATTTAGTGACAAGAACAGTAGCTATTATTGGCATCTTTTGATGTCTAATGTTAAATTTAAAGCTAAGAAATTTGGTGTTTATACAAAAGCTTCACACTGTTGAAAGTTATGTGACTAAGTCAATTAATTGTAGGGATTTGAAACATTTCTGTATGTAAATAGGCAAGCAGTTATTGATGCTTACTGTAACCTTATGTTTTTAAACAGAACATTCTCTCATAACATGGCCAGCTCTTCAAGAAACCTGGATGGGTTCTTAGGACAGAGAATTTCAAGAAAGATTTATTTGACTTCTTGGAACATAAAGGGTCTAAGTTCATTGACTTTCTGGTACCTGCACAAGAACATATCTAAGCAAGATTTCAAGCTTCTCAGTAACTAAAGGAATTGGTATAAATAAATAATTCTCAACACACTCAGAATAAATAAGACCTTTTATATTTCTTTCAACATAAGTTCTATGAAATTTTCAGTTAGATCTCCATTTCTGTCAGACACATCAAATAATTTACCATCTATTGCTTTTCAGTTGAAAAGCCTCCAAATCACCTTATAAATGCAGCACCACTAAGAATGAAACACTCTGGAACCACTGGACCAAGCCCCTGCTCCAATACCACACAGTATTTAATGGTCACATGCAACACTGAGGTTCTAAAAGACTTGGGCTTTTACCTGAGCCAGTAAACGCAAGGAGCTCAGTACCTCACAGAATGTCCAACTGCTAAGTAGACCCTTAGAGGACACAAACCAGGATGAAAAAAGTAACTTTTAAAAAAGCAAAAAGGCACATACATACTATCAGTAACAGAGTTACTATTTTTGTTGCACTGAAAGTTCAATACTTGCTGATGTACAAATAGGTTGTTGCCATACTCTTCAGTTGACCTTGAGTCTCCATCCTAAGCCTGGCTTAGAGCACCACCGAAAAAATTAAGACCAACCCTGATAAATCCAATGGCTTATTAATTTAGTGTTATGAATTTCAAAGTACAGGAAAATAAAAATTAAAGTTATTAAACCCTATAAGCTTCAGATTAAAAAAAAGTCACCTGATGACAATTACAAAAGAAACAATTACGCTTTTCAAGGCAAAACTGCTTGGGGCAGGCATGTCAATTCATAAATAATGTTCTGGGTTAGAGGCTATTTATTGACTTTATGACCACAGTAAAGCCATTAATGAAACAAGATCACAAAAAGAGCTTAAAATATTTTGTTTTGAAGAGCTTAAGGGAAACAAACAGCCCATACATTTAAAAATATTTTCAAACAATATGCATGAGATTTTCTTGCTCATGAAAGACACCAGCCTGGAAGCTGAAGTTACCAATTTATGCCCAGAACAGGTGCAGATTTCTGACACTCTACCTCCTTCCCCACAAACAGGGCTTCATTCTGACCTGAAAAAAAAACAATGCTAGCCACAGAAAGCTAAGAGTCACCTCCATGACCCTGCAGTCCCTTGTCCGCCTGTGAAGATCGGCACCATCAGCTGTGGTGATGATCTCAGGAACACATATGCACTCTGAGAATATGACCAAGACCTAGCAATCTCCTACACACAAGGAACAACACAGCTGAAACTTGAAAAAAAAAAAAAATTTCTACTTTTCTACAGCATGTTTATGGGACAGAGATGCATTCAAAATTATCTGTACCTCTTACAAAAAAACACCAGCTGGGGAATTTACAGGAGCTCAAAAATACTTCCTAACATTTTTCCTAGCAGAAAACAGGAGGCAGAGATGGGAAATTTGCCACTCAAAGGAAGCAGATTTGAAATTATCTGTTCTGATTAGAACTCTATGTACTTCTTGGAAACATGTGAAGTGGAGATTCTAAGCACTATCTATGCAGGACAGAATTTGCTTATTTTTCTCAGCTATGGTTTTTGTGCTGCTGTATTGCTTTGTCATGGAACTTCGCAAGAAAATTATTTGATATAAATCTCACAGCAGTCTTAAAAGTCTTTAAAATACCAACCTGGATACTTCATGAAACCAAGTTCTTTTACTCCTGTGTCCAATCCCAAAGAAAATATACAAACATAACAGAATAGCATGAAAGTTATAGCCAGCTCCTGAAGATCTGGCTCAACGTGCCACAGCCGCACTGATTCCAATGAAGTGAGGACATTTTCTATCAGCTGGGGACGTGGCCTGACAAAGGTGAAGGCACTCAGCAGCACACCAAATCAAGTGCATGTGCATTGAAGCTCATATTACTTACCACTAAAGCCTTTGTGCTTTGAAATACACCTCTGGAAAACAGCACAGAGCTGTAATTCTTGCAGAAATGCAGACAATTGATTTCTCATCCAGCTGAGAAAGCGATACAACGATAAGACCCAAACCTACATACATGTAAGTTTTGAGGAAGTTTCTGCTAAGTTTTCAAAGACTTTAATTAGTCAAAATACTATGACACTTAGTTTGAGAGAACTGAGATAAGTTCCTAACAGCAGACATCAGCCATAGCCCAGTCTGAAATAACTGTTCAGCTTCTCAGGCTATAAACTAGGATCCTTATTTCTGCACTAAGTATCATCTGACCCATGGCCACAACTGGGCAAAATTTTTTTACATGTGATAAAAAGAGGAAGAATCAACGCAAGGAGAGACTTATTCCAGAGTACCCAGCCAGACAGCTTGAGTGGTTTGACTGTGAGAGCAGTCAGTGCTAAAAGTTAATATCGTAATGATTCGTGTGGAATTCAGCTTTCTTGAGCAGGCTCCAAAGTCCATGAGCAGCCTTCCAAAATGCCACCATGCCAGCTTCACTTACCCCTAGCCACCTTGCTCCTTTGTTGGCAGCCTGCTGAATCTGCACTCTTTTCAGGGTGACATGGTAAACAGCTCCTTCTTCTACCTCTTCACCCCCATCCTGAATTGTGGTCTGCCAGGGAAAGGAAAAAAAAAAGTAAGACAGAAAGGAACATTTTCCCTCTTCTGCTAACCACAATCTATACCAGGTGTTCTAATGCTTCACGCAGAGCCCAGGGCAGAAGATGGGCTGCACAAAGTAAATACAACAATCAAAGCAATACAGGATACTTTTAGATTGAGGGAGCACTGGAGATATTCTTGGCAAGCTGTTCTCTCCCGTGGTATCAAGATACCCTGACTTTCCATTTAACTATTTTTCCTAGACTAGCACATATTTTAAATAGTTGTATAAAGTCTTTTCGAAGGAAATAGTTTGGTTTTGATTAGCAGTCGTCTCTTCCCTCTCCCTCCCCCTCCTCCCTTTTCTAAAGCAATTAATCTCTTTGGTCTTTCATTTATGGAAGGAATTGCACTTTTTAAAACCGTTGAATTACTCAGGCAGACAGCCTTTAAACTTTGAAGCTAACGAGCATTTAAAATACAGCAACCCTTTATTTCTTTTGACAGAAGGGATCTAAAGCGCTTGTGGTTTGCTTTTGCAAAACCTATTATTTCAAGTTCCAAAAAAAAGGAAACTTTACAGAGTCGAGGCTTTAAAACTCACAAATAATAGAAAGGGAATTTAAAAAAA